GTTTTTAGTTACATTACAAGCACAAGTTGCCGCTTTTTTGACTCACCTGTCATTTTTTGCTTCCATAAAAAAGCCCGTCTTGGCCCTTTAATGACGCACAGGTTACGCACTTCCCGGAAGAGCAGCGGGGACACAGGCCCCATCGATACAACACAACTGCACACATAAGCACTTACTAATAATACAGCTCTGTTTGGATGTCATTTTCATGGAGTACCGCCGCTAACACATATGGAGTGTCAAGAGGAAAAGCCAATCATCTATACCATGGAAAACAAGCCGATTGTAACATGTAAGTGTTTGTTAAAAGACGTCCAGTCTGATTTTTTTCTGCTCTTGACAGTTAGCCTGCTAGCTGCATTCATTAGCTCGTTGAAGCTAAGCTAGCTGTCACCCTCATATTAACCAGCTTGGAGACGCTGCTTGTGTGTGTGTGTGTGTGCTGCCACTGGGGGCTTTATTTCTACGTGTGAGGACTGTAATATTTTCATACGTGCATGCGACACCGCTGTCCGTGCTAAATGGTCTCCTGGAAAACGGTATTTGTCTCAGCTAGCTTGCAGCTACATTGATTAACAGGCCTAGCTAACGATATAACGTCACGGCTAGTTGCTGCAGTTTTGGGAAGGATATCATCCTGTTCCCTACTGCACAGACACAGTTCCCTCTGGTAGCAGTTCAGGCTGTAGAGTAGACATGATGTTGGGGAGCTGGGGTCAGTTTTCCATTCATAAATCCCTCGGAGTCCTATTGAAGCGTCTTTTGTAGGGGTTATTTTAGGAGCTGTCGGCGGTGGTGGGTGACAGTCTCATCTCCCACCGCAGGCTGCTCCATTTTTAGTCCCGTGGCCCTGTACACGAGCAGACAGACGCTCTGGGAAGTCTGAATCTGAAAGGAAATCGTACAGTAGGGATTTGGGGATAGATTCAAAATCTAAATGACAGGGAACCTATCGTGGGATTCACCTGCATTATCAGGTGTCCTACCTCAGCGTGCCTCTGGAATCTCGCTTGACTTCTACAGTGATGAGGAGATTCAGAAATGTAAAACCTGGACAGAAATAATTACGTGAAAATCCTGGAGGTTTTGCAACATACATCCCCACTCCTCAAAAGTCTGAAAACATGCTCTACAATTTCAGTACGTTTCTCAAAGCAAAGATGGCAACAACAGCTATCCTTCAATGAATGGCTAAAATTATATATTTTTACATAACAATAAAGGCATGCTTATTAATGCAAATTTTGAGCTATAAAGCTGATAATTACAGGAAAAACACATTAGATGCCCTTCTCTAATGTGAATGACATCCACTTACACTCAGGGTTATTGTATGTGTGTTTGTGAAGCGTGGAGCAGCAACTAATAATTATTTGCATTGTTTGATTATTTTGTCTATTTGTCTATATTATTGGTCGATGATATGTTAGAAAATGGTGAAAATTGTTGATAAGTGTTTTCCAGAGGCTAAGATTATGGTCTTCAGTGCCTTATTTTGTCCACACCGATATTTTAGAAGAGAAGAATAAAAAACTATATTGATCCTTCCGTGCAAACCTCAGGGAAATTGTGGGAGATTTCTCAGATTCTCAGAGGGGTAAAGAACCCAGAGAGTACTGAATTACAGGAAGCTTGATTTTTGAGTGATTAACTTTTCAACAACATAGTTGACCATAATTTAATAATTGACGACTAATCATTTAATTGTCGCACCGCTCGTTGGCAACCAAACAAGTTAATAAGTATGTCTTCTGTTAAGGAATGGCAATCTTTTCAAAGTTATATTTTTAAAATGTGATGCAGGTTTGTCAGATTGGTAAAAAAATGCCAAGTGTGGCTTATTTTTGAGAGTTATTATTGATGCGAAATACACAACAGACACAAACAAGGGCTGAGATAGAAAAATAAATGAAACTGGCATGGCACTTTAGTTCAGAGAGTGGGATGTATTGTTAGGTATTTAATGAAAATTTGCTACACAGAAAACACATCTCTGTGTGTGTGCTATTTGCGGCAGGATACAGATGCCCTTCTCGGCTACAAATGACCTCACATTACATTCAGGGTTACTGTCTGTATGTTTGTGTTGCTGACACTGTACGATCACCGATTTAAATGTAAATCACCTGCAGAGTGCATCGAGCACATCTCACTCAGATGAAGTGTGGTTTTATCCTTACAGAGTTGTGAAAAAAAGGCCTCCGAGTGTGAGTGTACAACACTCTGCTCCTTTTGCTCTCCAAGTTTTTTTTTTTTTTTACGTGAACTTGTGTAAAATTGACTCATGCAGTCACAGGGATCATACTTGTGTTTGCTTTGAAGGGTTGTGTTTGATAGCAGCCTTGGAATAATCAAAGTTCAGTTCTTTTTTTTTTTTTTTTTTTTAAGTGTACTGGACCTTTACAACCCTGAAAAGATAAATCACTGATCAACACAAACAGGTGCATCAACTGACATGAACTCGTAATGCTGCATTTTGCTTCCAGTTTCAGATCAGATCACTGGTTCATGTCAACATTACACAGAGAAAAGACCAACTAATTACAGTGTATTCTGACAGCTATGATCTGCAAGAATGATCAGGTCGTATTTTGTCCCTGCACTGATGGTACATGCACATTACTCAAATAATTCTGAATTTTGCATAAAGCTTTTGATGCAATAGTTTGATCATACTGTACGCCACACAGGAAAGCTCCACGTCCAATGATCCTACACATCTGTCCAAGTGTTTAACTTTGGGCAGCAAGGCTAATTGATTTACAATGCGGCCATAATTGCCGGCACAGGCAGTCATGTTGGCCCAACTCCAGGACACTAGATTCAAATAGACGGCATCGTGAGATTTAAGTGCTGACTTCAACTTGCAGGTTATTTGAGGATATTTGCATCCATGCTGGCTGAGTGAACAATGTAGTACTAGTATTCCTGTTGTTTACCCTCACAGGATATTTATAAAACAGGCTTTTTACCCAGTTCATTGAATATGACCCACTTTCAGTGTAGCTCAAACAAGTCCTCCACTGTTTATCAAATCGCACACATCTACCATGAGTGACAGTTCAAACATTTTTAAAATTGGCCACTGGCTGTGAAATTAAAGACGCTTTATTGGTTGAGCTGGAGTGGGGATTCTCATATGGGGCATATGGGAGAGAAGACTGGGAGAGCAGCCTCAAATTAAAGCTGGATTTCTGCACCTTTACGTCATAGTCGCCACACAAAGTCTGTTGCAGTGCTTTCAGTGCATTCGCTTTATTGAGCAGTGTCCCATAATCTGAAGGGGGATTTGTTAAGCACTGGTGAGGTGTGAGCAGCGAGGCAGCGGGTGAAAAGGACCATATGTTTGTGTGGAATGGCTGAAAGTTTGTGTAGCTGAGACGGTTCTATGAAGGGCAATATACTGTGAAAAGACCTGCTGGTACACATATGTTTTTGCAACACTTTAGTGTTTTTGTAATTGCGTTCTTTGTTATAGCCAAGACCATAGTATTGAGAATAAAGCTGTGGCTGCTAGGAGCAACACACTTTTTCTGTGTTTCTGAGGTTGAAATAGTTTTTACTGCCAACATTTGAACTCAAGTCTTTTATACTTTCTGTCAGTTGAGTCTTTCATAGGTGTTGCTCTAATGGCTCAGACTGCACTTGGGTACACATTATACTGTATGACACAGTGATGGAACATGGTCTAAGGATAGAGGGTGTTGAACTTTGGCTATATAAATAATATGACGTGAGCTGAGCTGTGAAAGCTCTATATACGTTCTGCTTTATATAAAAAGATTAATGATATTGAGACGAGTGGGTAAGGGCGACTGTGCAGCAGCAGCCCTGCTTTGTAATGGTCTTCTCTTCAATGAAATGTTCCCCCCTATTGATATTTTAAAGAAAAGTCTAAAGACTCGTATGCTTTCAGTGATTTTTTTGGTTACACTTAATGGTTTTATTTTTTAGAATTTTATATTTGCTTAATTTTAGAATTTGATTTTACAAGTTGTTATTGTGTTTGTCTCAAAAAGACAAAAATAAAGTTTTAAAAATTGTCCAATAATCAGTAACACAGTTTAGAGGACAAATATTATAATTGTATTGTTTTGTGATTTAAGTTGAAAAGGTCCTAACTATGGGCCTGTTGCTCCCAATATATTACTTTAATCTGTAGCCTTTATTGTGCTGCCTACAATCAGTGGAAAAACTCATTCACGTGTTGGAGGAAACACATGATTTAGATCCACAGAGCTGAGAGAGCCGATAAAGAGGCATACAGTGCTGCAGGACTCAGACTCTGACAGACTGTCCGGGGAAAACCTGAACATCTTTAGTGCATTCCTCAAAATGAAAATTGCATCTCAGTGTTTTCTTTTGGAATTCTTGTGGCTTGAAAACATATGTATTATACAGCATTAATTGTTTTGTGAATTAACCATTCACCTCATTTTGTTCTTTAAAAGGCTCTTATACAAGATGTCACTGTGTTTTGTTCTGAAATTTTCCATCTTTCTGTGTTTTTCATTTTCATTTTTCACCCGTTTACTCCTCCTCCTTACTTTTTTGGGCTTGTCTTGATATTTAGTGCAAATGAGCATTTTAATACACTTCAGATTTGGCCCAAAAAATTCCCCATGTCCTATGAACTAAACACCTCAGTAGTCAAAAGTGGAGATTTGGAACAAGGTAACTTATCTTTTGCCCACATATATGAAAACAGAAGAGTCTGTAGATATTAGATTTCAGTTTTCCCCTGAGCAACTAATTTTTCAAGCCTGACCTAATTTTTAAACGCTCTTTGTCCTCCTCTCTTCACATCCCAGGTGCTGGAGATCAGGGCTTGTTCACGTCTCTTTATACCTCATTGGCACAACAACTTCCCCGGGAGCCAATGGAGTGGAGGAGGTGAGTACTGAACCGCTAAATGCATGATGGAAAAAATATCATCGGTAGCTTCAGCTCATCCAGAGATATTACTTAAAACATCGTAACAGTCTACTAAGACTGAGTGGTCATTTATAAAGGAAATGTAGACGTCCTTTCTGCAGGTTTCTCTATTCAGTGCTTCCTACTGATTTTGCATTTCATTAGCTGATCCAAAACAAAACATCTCAGGCACAAAACATTCTTAGTAAAGATAACAAGAGGGAGCAGAGAGTGCATGAAGTACATAAATTATGACATTAACAGGTGCTGCCAAAAGCAGAAGAGAAGAAACCGGTTGTTTTAGGTTTTATCTGTAGCATCTGAAGTGTGAAAACAAAAAACAGATGATGTATGTGAGTCGGTTAAGAGACCATTTCCTTGCTCTGATTATGGCCTGATACAGGCATTTAATTGATGGCACGGGAAAGCTGCTATTATTGGATGACTTACTGATAATTTACTCAAGTTTAAAGCCACATTACAATCCAAACAGTGATAACACACTGCTCCGGACGATGTATTGATGTTTCATTTGACAGCTGAGCAGAAATATTGCAGGAGTTGTTGTCCCATCTTGAGTTTTATGAGCTGCCACGGCAAGTAAAGTCCTTGTTGGATTTTTTTATCCCGTGGTCTATATTTTATTCTATTTAAGCTTTTTTTCAGGAGCGCCCAAACAAAAATGATTGAGAAAACTACCTGAGTTTTAAGATGCAAAGCACTTGTGTGTTTATGTGTTCAGAACGAGTCTATCGACCGTGAACAGGATCGGTTTGTTCATACACTGTTTGTCATTGTGCCAGCCGTGTTAGAATGATGGCAGCTTTTGAAGAGTGAGATTAGCCACTGGGAGTGAACACAGCCTCAGGGGTAGGAATGGGCATGTAAAGGAAAATCTAGCTATTTTACATCCTACATCTTACTGTCACAGTTTGAAAGGAGGATAGTTATCACAGCAGCTCTTTCCTTCTCCATGAAGTTAATAAAGAATAACTTTCCTTGTAGCTTAACTCCTTATATTAGGGTTGAACGATTTGGGGAAAAAATAAAATCGACATTTATGACAGATATTGCAATTTAACTTGGAATGTAGCTTTTTTTTTTTTTAAACTTGAGCTTCAGTTAAATATCCACAATGTCATAAATTTAAAATGTGATAAAGCATTATCACATGTATGACTATTAAAATAAGAGCGATTTAAAGCTATGAAATATTTCCAACATGTATTTATTGCATTTTTGATTTAAAATAGAATATAGAAACAATTAACACAAAAGTAGTGGCTGTGTTCAGTTAAATAAGGTAATAATAACTAATAATAAAAAAGAACTAAATTAGCACTTTTTTGCTAATTGCATTGTTTCAAACTCAGTTAGAATTCTCAGTTAATTGTTTAGTGTTCACATTGTACTGCTCATCATCATTGAACATGAAAAATACTTACACTGCAGCCCGAAATGAAAGCCTGTCTGTACTACATGATAAGAGAGAACTTTGTTAATCCCGAAGGAAATTCTTGTAGTAATGGCTTCTTAAACAGTAGCCTTGTTCCCTCTTGTTGATGAATTTGATTGATATTTGCCAGATATTCCTTTAACCAATCTTCTCAAATAGCTAATAATCCAGTGACAGATTCAAGGTTTAGTGATCGTGCTATTTTAGACTTTATAAGGTTAAATGATGCATGGTTATTCAGTAGATAGAATGTGTTCATATTTTGTTTCAATGCAAAACAAACCCTATTCTTCAAAAACACTGTGTAATTGATCCTGTAAATCTCCGTTTTCTCCTCCGTGCAGGACTTACGGCCGTGCACCAAAAATGATCCACCTTGAAGCTAATTTTGTCCAGTTTAAAGAGGAGCTCCTCCCGAAGGAGGGCAACAAGGCTCTTCTCACCTTTCCCTTCCTGCATATCTATTGGACTGACTGCTGTGTAAGTAGCCTGAAAACACCACACACACTGTCATTCTACTCTTTCTGGCTGCCAGCTGAGGTTAAGTGTTATTCCCATAACCAATCTTTGGGGGTCCTCCGTTGGTTAAAGGATCTATAATGAAAAATCATGAATTTAATACTCTCCTTTCTTTTTTCCCACAAAATTGTGGATTATTGCCACAATTTTGGATGGAGCAGCATGATTAGTGTCCATACATCATTTTTATCACCTCCCACACTGTGTGACTGTTTATTTTGTGTTTCAGTAGAGTTGTATACAGAAGATCTTGTTATGTATAAGCATAATTCTTCTATTTGTTGTTCAAGTGCCGTACTAGTGGAAAATATGTAGCATACATTTTATACCTGCAAAGTGTTTATTAAAGCCACAGCTAATTACGGTTTCATACATGTGAAGCGGTCCAAGACCACAAACATAAAGACAAACCAATGAGATGACTTGTATTGTGTTTAACACAGACATGAGAGATTAGCAACATGCAGCCACGTTTAAATGTTGCTGTTATTCGACAAAATGTGGAAAGTTGAATAAATGCTTAGGAATTTTGAATACAGCATCTTAATAAAGTATCTTTCAGACATGTGTGTTGTAGGATAAGACACGACTGCTTGTTTACACTCTCTATCAGTCCTAGTAGTTATCTGGGTAAAATAGGTCACAGACAGCTCTGTATGCAAGATATGCCCATAGTTCATAACTCACAGACTTATTATCATGTCAGCTAAACTCTGTGGCTCTGATGATTAGCAGGCACACATGTATCATACTTTCAAAGTACCATTTTCATATTTAAATAGGTTGTAGATCATTTTAAACGCTCAGGTTTAAGGAAAAGATCGTCTTCTTGTCTCAAATTTAGAACAGACCATGCTTTAAAATCTGTCTGTGGTATTGTACACTTGACTTTACGTGATCTACTTTTATTAGCCTGCAGTTAACGGGCCAAACTGAACTAGACATCTACTTTTTAAAGGCTGTGCAGAGAAAGCAGGCAGGAGAAAAACAAGAAGGGACGCAGGAACCTGCTGCTGCTGACTGAGCAGCTGGTTAGTTTAAGGAAGTGCTGTCATCAGCTCATGACTCATGACATTTCCTAAGGACTGTGCCTGTAGTGTGAGAGCACTCGGCCTGTGCTGCAGTATGGACACACCAACACCTGTATTGCAATTCAATACAGTACACCTGTAGTCAAGACTCTCTTTGTGAAACTTTTAAGTCCTTCTCAGGTCATTGATTTAACCCCTAAAAATTCACCTCTGTGTATCTGTGTTACATGTTTAGGAGTTTTTCTCCATGAAAACAATTCCTTCCTGCCTTAAAATGGCTGAGAGGTAACTCTACACTGTTGCTTATTTTAGAAAGTGCAGATCTAGGAAATCTCCACTGCTCTCTTCTCACCCCTCCCCACTCATGCAGCTCAAGCACACCAGCTCCCTCAGACCTAAACACTGTATGCTACACAATGTCAGGTAGTATTTTACTTATAGTGTGTCCTTTAGCATATAAAAAAACACCACATAGACATATTACCAAAAGAGAAAGCAACAGCAGTTTAATTTTCCCCTAAGGGGGTTTTAATGTTTTCATGCCTTTAGTTTGGTTCATTTGGTCCACATAAAGCACAAAAATGAAGAGATTTATTTCTGATCTTGTTTTTGTTCTTTCAGACTTCTGGCAAACAAACCTAGTCAGTAACTGACTGAATTGTTTGGTGGAAATTCTAGTGACAGCAGTTCCGGTTGTAATGTGGTGACATAAAGAAAAGAGAAAAAAAATGATTATTTGTAGTTAGTAGTAGATTAGTGATTTATTATACCATTGTTCCTCCAAATGAATAGCAAGTTACAAATAATGACAAACAGGTAGAGACAGGATGGAAACAGGGCGTCTTGCACAGGAGTACTCCGACATGATTAATGTGGGATCACTTTGTTTTTAATGGAGTCACAGCAGCCCAAATAAACTGCACTAACTGAGCAAACAGGACAGACTTGGCTTTCACTAAACCAAACAGGCCAGCTCTGTAAATACAGTTAAACTATTCAATTTTTCCTGAGACCATAAGAACTTGTGCATTATCTAAGTGTATGCATGTTTATTCTTGTTTAAATCAAGAGCATGCTCTTTGAATTTTACAGTAGCATTTTTTCAAAGGCCTGATCTCTCATGAACATGCTCTACTCTTTGAACATCCAGGCTCACAAAACTCCGACAAACTTTTGGATCTGCTTAATGTGTGCACAAACATGGACAATATGGAGCGAAATATATTAATACATAAAAGTTGCAGCTTGTATTAGATCTGCAGCTTCCCTTGACCAGTCCTTTGACTACAAAAATCTTGTGCACAAGTTGACAGTGTGATAGACAAAGTTCAAAACTCTAAGATGTGACTTGACAGCTTGTAAAACCACATTGCAGTCACTAGTCACACCAACGAGTAGCATCTATGTTTTGTGTAATAATATTGTACAATGCTAGCAGCTGTGCTATCGCTAAAGTAAAACTCTGTTCACATTCAGCTTCTCCTCCAACCAGGCTGCAGCAAACAAGGAAGTAAGCAGTAAAGATGGTGGAAGCAGCGGCATGCTTGTTTTGGTCGGGCTCTTCAGTCACAGGACAGTCAGGCAGAACTCATCAGCCGCTGGAGTTAAAAACCTTTGTTGGGTTTCCATGTGTATGGTTTTCAAGAAACAAACAAATTTTAGTGATGCAAAAATCTGTCCAAACCCGTGTGACACAGTTAACTACACGCTTCAAAGAAAACACATCAAAGGTGAAATGAATTTACGTTCTGTCACCTTGTGATTGCATATACAGTCACACAAGTGATCACTAAGATTTACAACCCCAAAGTGATCCTACAGACAGAACTTGTAAATACAAGTTTGCTTGCAAAACATTGTGTAACACAGGGGCTTGAGTTTCCCTCCCTGCCAGTGGACTGTTACATAATGACTGACTCATTATATTATATCCCGCCTGTACTCATTTCCAGCCAATTTAAAACAAACACATCCCTCCATCCCTCAAGCAGCAGCCATTTACAGCAGCTCACTCTGTAAACTCCAGTCACATCGTTCACATTACTAGCCTACAGATTATCATAAAATTTTTTGTAGCTTCCGTCTACTGTCTTTTCTTTCATTATGTAATCATATTATAAAAATAAATGTATTTAATTTGTGTCCCTGTTTGCATAAAAAACATCTTTGATGAAACTTAATGGCATATTACCTCCCTTTAACACTGATAATAGTGCTTTACATGCAGTATTCCTTCAGATTGCATGCGAGTGCAGAGAAACTGTGTGAAAGCATCCCTCTAAAGAATGGTTATTGCCATTGCGAATGGTTACAATGTATTAGACCACAGCTGTTCCATGTTTGTTTAAATTTTCCTTGGGAAAGTTGATGATTCAAAACCGTGCTTACAGAAATTAAACATTTTTTCCATTGCATGTTTACTGTGTATAAAGTACTCTGCAAAATTATTACTCACTAAAAGTAAAGTGAGGATGTTAGAAAAATCACTATGTAGTGTGATCACCCTTTGTCTTTAAAAATAAAGGTTGACCTGGCTCATTATCGGAAATGCCACAATTTTCTGATAATCGTATTGTTATTCTGCTTTATATCACCAGTTTTTATCCCGATAGGACCACTACTGGAGTGTAAACAAGCAGTCACGCCAATCCTCAAACACAAATGGATGAAACAAACTTCATGTACATTTTGTAGTCCGTTACCTTTCTAAAAAAAAAAAAAAAAGGAAAAATGTGTTACTGTGGGAAATGTACCACCGAGAGCACAATGTGATTGGTTGCACATAACGAGTAATAACCAATCAATGCTATGCTGAAAAATTCTCTTTTAATCAATACATATGCACAATGTAAAGTTGAAGTTTGTGTTTTTACTGCAAATGTGTATTAATAATCAATAATGGTTTCATTTTTGGAAAGAAAACCGGAACAATTGAACCATATTTAAAACACCACCGGTCGTCCTTGGTGCACAAACACAGTTTTTTAAAGTATTTGGAAAGTTTGTTAAAGTGTCTTGAAGAACTTTCCACAGTGCTTCTGTGGATTTATTCTGTCTTAGTGTCTCCTTTCTCTTCATGTAATCTAAGAGTAACTCCATGATATTAAGATCAGGGCTCCATGGAGTCCGTACCATCTGTTGCAGCACTCCCTGTTCTTCTTGTGGCTGATAATAGTTCGTTGTGGTCCTTGTTTGTTTGCTTTGGGGTTGTTGTAATGCTGCGGAATGAATGTGGGTCACCTCAGACACCTCCCCGGTGGCACTACATGATGCAAGAATCTGAACTCCCAAAGCACCTAAAGCTGTTGCACAGTTCATTAGAGACAGTATGTAAATCACTGCAGAAGGTCTGAATAATAAAAACATTGTGCTTTATTGTAGGATACAGAGGTGTATAAGAGCACGGTGAAGGAAGACATGATGCGCTGGCAAAACAGCTTGAGGACCCACGGCTCAGCAGACTGGGTCATCATCGTGGTGGAGACCAACGATACTAAGAAGAAGAACAAGACGAACATCCTGCCTCGGTCGTCGATCGTGGACAAGATCCGCAGTGACTTTTGCAACAAGCAGAACGACAGGTTAGTAAACTCCTCCCTTTCAAATTGGTTGTTTTAGATGAGAGAACAGTTAACTTCCTTTGAAACGCATTAGTTGGTCCCAAGTTCCTTCTTTTGCTACAGTAACAGTCAGACATGATTGTTTTGCTGCTGAACATGCTGATGTAGAATATGTTCATATATGTAGTGCTGATCTGATCAGTTCATTTAGGAGCTAGTTGACTGAGATTTGCATTTATTTATCAGAAAAAAGGCCAAATATTCTTTGATTTCAGCTTCTAAATTTTCTAAACATTTCTTTCTTTTCTCTATTTTATGAATGAGCTTGCTCATATACTTAAAAGACATCTGCAGGTATAATCAAAAGTTAAAATGATTTATTGCCATCCTTTTTATTTGTTCTCACAGCAGGACAAATAATAAGTCCTTGCTAAATATAAAAAACTATGTCAATTCAACCTTCCCTGAGTAAATATCGGTTGTTATCCTTCGATCCAGGTGTGTGGTTCTGTCAGATCCTCTGAAGGATTCGTCTCGGTCTCAGGAATCCTGGAATTCCTTACTTCTAAAGCTGCGAACTCTTCTCCTCATGTCCTTCACCAAGAACTTGGGCCGCTTCGAAGACGACATGCGAACGCTCAGAGAGAAACGCACTCAGCCTGGCTGGAGCTTTTGTGAATACTTCATGGTCCAGGTATGTAGAAAACACGCAGGCAGGTGGACGTTGATTTAGTGACGAGAAACAAAAGAAGAGAAGTGATTGTGTCGGGACTGAAACTGACTGGACTGAAAGAGTTAAAACACGTGTCCCTTCTCCCACCATATATTTCCTCTGTTTCTAAAGATAATTACATTAAAGAAAAATCATGATGCTCAGTGGAAATGTGTGTGTGTGCAGGAGGAGCTAGCCTTTGTTTTTGAGATGCTGCAGCAGTTTGAGGATGCCTTGGTCCAGTATGATGAACTTGATGCTCTTTTTACCCAGTATGTCCTTAACTTTGGAGCTGGAGGTATGTAGCCACCTACTGTGGTTTAAATATGCAAGTATTTTTCTTTTTCAAGATCATTCCAATTTTGGTTTTGGTCTTACTCGCCTGCTTCTGTCTACAGACACAGCAAACTGGCTCGGCTCATTCTGCGCACCGGTGCGTAACTGGAGCGGTTTGCTGCTTCGGCGGCCCATCGACATGGAGAAGCGGGATGGGATCCAGCGTGGGGAGGCCAGCCTGTTGGACCTGAGGAGCTACCTGTTCTCTCGCCAGTGCACTTTACTCATCTTCCTCCTGAGACCCTGGGAGGTCACACAGAGAGCCCTGGAGTTGCTCCACAACTGTGTCCAGGAGCTACGCCTGCTGGAGGTAAACGGAGCCGTTTTTTGCATACTTTTTACTTCATACAACATGTTTAAACAGGTTTAAAACCAAAATATAAACTTTTTACAAAACTAATTGTGCTAACAGAAAAGCAGTGAATTATCCTGTGTTTTCAGGTTTAGTCAAATAGAAAAAGCAACATGGATATGAATACATTTTGGACTAAGAAAATACACAAGTTCATTCTTTTGTAAACACAAACAGTGTTCATCTTAACAATCTTAATAGTTTAGAGGTCAGTTGTTACACTGTGACTCAAAGTCAGAAATATCTGTTCTTGAGTGGGTGCTGCAACGACCCACGCTGATGTGTGTCCCCATGATAAAATGCTTATGTTCTTTTTGTCATTGAGGTGTCTGTCCTGGATGGGGCGCTGGACTGTTGGGTGTTTCTCAGCTGTTTGGAGGTTCTGCACAGGATCGAGGGCTGCTGTGATCAGGCCCAGTTAGCTGCAAACTGCTCCCATACTGTTGGCCTCTGGGCTTATGCTACAGACAAGGTAAAGCACAGAAGTCTTGTGGTTTGTTTAGTTTTTTTTTTATAAGTTTGGCTTTGATGATTTGTATAACTTCAAGGATGTCAGTGCACCATAGGTTAGGTCTGAAACAATGACTTTTTATGGAAGAAAAACTCTCACTACAAATGTTAGCATTGTTAAGAGTTTCATGGGTATTCCCCTTTTATCTGTCTCCATCAACCTGTTAAGATTATCAATAAGATAGAATTCATATGTAGTGTTGTGCTGTGCAGTGTTATCCTAAATCACATGACTGTCCCTGTTTGGTGACTTGTTCAAATGAGAAGTTTGAAAAAACAACCAAAACATTTGTATTAGTGCATGGCATCAGGAAAATTCTAGCTCTGACATTTAAGAGAATGAAGGTACTGCTTTTTATTTTTTTTTAAAGTAGAGCTGCAGCAATTAATCTGTTAATTGTCAACTATGAATGTCAGTAATTGGTAACTGATTTATCAGTTTCAGTAATTTCTAAGGCAAATCATTTGATTCCAGCATCCTGAATTTGAGTATTTTTTGTTTTCTTTCCTCCTCTACGACCATAAGCTGAATATCTTTGTATTGTGGATAAAACAAGACATCATCTTGGACATTTAGGAATACTGATTGACACTGATACTGATGACACTGTATACAATTCTCAAGACTAGCAAAATGAATGGCCATACACCCATCTTCAAAAAGTGTACCTTAAAACGCAAAAGTTTAAAAGTTTTATTTTAGAAAAAAATCAGACATGAAACAGCCAGCAACAGCTTTTACTGTTTTGTGGTCAATAAAGTAGTACACAAGTCCTCGGACTCCAGAGCTCTGTTTCTCATTGATGAGACAAAGTGGAAGAAAATAGCAAGTATATAGCAAGCCAAAAGATTAACAGTGACAATAATAGAACAGCTAAGTTTCCCCACATAGAATAGCCTACTGACCATAAATCGATAACATAATTGACGAAGAATCAGATCAATACGGGGAATCGATAATGGCATTGGTATTAACAGCTAATCAATTAGTTGAAAATCTAAGGATTGATCAACAGTAAAATAATCATTAGTAAAGGTAAATATCTTAAATACAATGTTTCTTTTTTTCTCTCTCTCTGTATTGTGCCTTGTCTAGCTGAAGTCTCTGGGGGAACTCTGTGGCCTGGTGTCAGAGAAGGGACCCACATCTGAAGACCTGAACAGAACTGTGGACCTGCTGGCTGGACTGGGAGATGAGAGACCTGAGACGGGTGAGCTGTTGACTCTGCTGTTAATGAAACTAGTGTGAATTTTGAAAACATTTTTAGTGGTAATTAGAACTTGATTGCAAAAAGTTTAAAGATAGATATAGAAGGTGTCCTGCATCAACGGCTCTAATCAGCTCCAGTCGGCCTCATCAACAGCACTTCAGCTGAATCAGGGCTGACTGAATGTCTGACTGGATGTTCAAGCTGACTAATCTGGGATTTCCTAGTTTCTGTGCAGTTTTTGTGTCTGCCTTTTCCTTTTTTTCCCCCACAACAGATACCATTACCAGACAAACACTAGCAAAGTTCAACTTTATATCAGACACATGCTGCATATTTTTAATTTATACTCTGTTCCAAATACTGGTCAAAGTGTTATTATTGCGATGAAGCAGGTTTGTTCTGTTTGTTTCTCTGCAGTTTTTTTTTGTTTTACAAATATATGCAGGTGCACTTGTGTTACCTGTCTGCCAGCCTTTAAGAGCAGACATTAAGCAACGCCTCTGTTTGTCTGTGGCAGCACATGTTCTTTTAAGAACATCGCTGCCCTTTGTGTTGAAATGTCCTGTTCTCTGAAACAAACATGAGCTCATTTGGTCAATCATGTTAATTAAGAGCTAACAATAAACCCTGACTCTTATTTGAAATACAATAAATAGTGGTGTGCATTGTTTTTAAAAATCTGTTTTGTCTTCCTCCACAGTCAACAGCTTGCAGAGCCCTTACAAAAAGCTGAAAGAAGCTTTGTCGTCTGTAGAAGCTTTTGAAAGGCACTATCTTGTAAGTCACACACATTGCCACAGTGTGGTGTTGCATTTCAGTAGTTGGCGACGTAGGAAGTTAACACACATACACACACACACACACTCTCTGAACTCTTGTCCCAGTTTTTTAATCAATATTTTTTCTGATGTAATGTCCTGGAAACAGCTCATTTGATTATCTTTCTCCACTCTTCTTCCCTCCCTTCTCACCCCTCTTCCTCCATAACCACCTCGTTGGCTCCTTCTTGCATCAGGAACTCTCTCATGCTGCTATGGAAATGTACCGCGCCATCGGCCGGCTGAGGTCTGCCAGACTGGTGGGAAAAAGCTTGGCGGAGTTCTACATGTAAGGAAGAATGAAGCCGCTGGTTCAATTAGGGTAGAGGGAGGTCTCAAATTTGGCTTAAAGGCCAAGCACATGTACCCTGCTGTTTCAGTTTTTCTGGCTGATTAGGCCTCTTGTCAGGAGCTGTCAGTCAATTACTGCTAATAAGCTCCCACGCAGTCCTGAAGAGAAGTCTAATCAGGCGGAATAAATGAAAACACCAACGTGGGTTTACAGTGGGTGTGTAGAGACTTTAAACTAATGTGAGTGAAGTTTAGATGAATATATTAAACAACTTAAAGACCTCTAACTCACCCTTCAGTGACATAATCAGCTATTTTTAAAACACAGGGCTGATTGATGTCACTTTAGGAGCAACCAGATCCAAAAACCAAATGTGTACGATGAAGTCAGATGTCTTGTGGCAAAAACGAGGAAATGAGCTGTGTCTCTGCTTCTTTGATGTCAGGTCTTGCCACACTTTGTAAATACAGATTCAAATGTCAGACAGGTTATTAGTGAATGGCTGTCACAGGCTTCACATGCAGTTTCACGTATTGTAGTGATTAAAAAAAAACACAAAAAAAACACTTGTTACAGTTACGCTCACGAGGGGAAATGGGAAGTAGCAAATAAACAAGCAGATGATCAGGGCTGTACCAAAGCTGAATGTTGTTTTTATTTGTTTTTGGCATAACAGCATAAATCAGCACATATCAAAAAAGGCATCAGGCAGTGAATACTAGTCAGATCAAACAAAAGGAGAACTTCCGATTAAAAAATTTAAACTAATTTACCCAATTTATATAGACAACAAACCAGCTCAAAATTAAAATCCTGAGCTGCCCAACCTGCACTTACTGACCAAACAAAAAAAATACAGGTGGAAGTAGCACTCTTAAACTCCTAAATTGCTGTTAAATAAGATGGACTTGTATATATAATATCCTGAACCTGGCTCAGCCTCCAGTGACAAACTCGTAGCTAGACAAATCACATGTCTGGGATGAACAGAGATTGTTGGCACAGTCGTCTAAAATGCCAAACAAAGAGCCACAGAAATGAGCTGCAAACTCCAAATCACAGCCATGCGGAGTGACGGATTTCCTGAGCTTTTAAGCTGGCGTCGCGTTGCTTGATCAGGTCAGAAAGCAGGTTGGAGGAGGAGCAGGCAAAGCAACAGGCTGAGCGGGGGGCTTGCTAGTTTATATACGAAACAAGAATGAGGTTGATCACATCACATCGGTAGGGCACCAGGGCTGTAACGCTCCTTTATAAATGTGTGGAAAAACAACATTTGTGAATACTGAGTGACACAGATGCTGCTTTTATATGTATTCAGTGTGCTAAAATTAAATTTCTTCACTAGTCTCACAGAACTCATACATACATGAGCAAGGTTTCACTGTAGTCAGTCTGTTGTGTTTATTCCACTTAACTTAAAAATCTACAGATCAACAGACATCCTGTCAAGTTATCTCTGAGCCTTTTTATAGTTGTAAGAAAGTCATCTGATGTGTTTTTGTGTCTTTTATTAGGAGGAAGGGGGATCCTGAGCGAGCAGAAACCTTTTTACAGGAAGCTCTGAAGTCTTACGTATCAGAAGGCTGGAGACTCCCTGTGACTCACACCAGGAGACAGATTGCAGAGTGTCAGAAACTGCTGGGCAGAACTGAAGAGTATCCTTCAAATCACTAGCAATAGCTAGAAGACCAGTTAAGGACCAAGTATGTCACTTTACAATAGTGCCAGGATGGAACTGTGAGAGAGTAAAAAAAAAAACAAACAAAAAAAACAGATCTATGTACCTTTTATTTTGAATACCAAATACAAGCCTCTCTTTGAGTTTTATTAACTTCATATAAAAATAAGGTTGTTTATTCACATATTAGTAGAAATCACTGCATTTATCTGAGTCAGTTCTTAAAATATATATAGATATAGTTTGTGGTTTAAGAAGTTGTTAAAATAGCCAAATAGACTTATGTAAACTTTATTTTAAATATGTCACAGCTTTGAGTTTGGCCAATCATATCGTCACATTTTTTCAGTCAGAGTTAAAGCAGGCTGGACAATTTGTGATACAAAAACTCGCCCAATGTACCTGTGTTTTGGAAGGCTGATAAATGGTTCTTATGTTGTCCCCACAAAGCTCGTGTTCTTGTAGGAGTATCTTGGAGTATTTAGTTTCCTTTACAACCCTCTTCAGCTACTTGCAAACCAGTGCCTTGTTGGCAGGTGATGTGAATCTGACCACAGAGGAGAGGAAGCACTTTTGTCAGGAAATTCTGAGCTTCGCTGGCAAGTCTGGAGACAAGTGTAAGTGATCGTGTTCATTACTGGCAAGATAATCTATAAGACATACAGTTTTACAGAAGAACACTTTGTACTGGACTCTTTCCTGTATCATCAGTCTGATGATCGGTCAGTGCGTTCCAGAAGCGTCTATTTCTACTTCAGTTACTGGTGTGTGAGATTTCACCCAAGTAGAAGACAATCTTACCAGAGAGGATTTCAGCTTGATGCTCTCGTAGAACAGTGGGACATAGCATATGAATCTACCGAGCTGAATAACTGAGGTTTTCACTGGTATTTTGTCTGTAATCACTTCCCTCACCAGTTCAATCACTGTGTGAATCATGTGTGAAGTAAACTCAGCTGCAGGAGTCTAGAGCCACATTAGTTTGTATTCTTCTTCATCTTACATGAGCAGTTAAAAACTGAATCAGTGAATCTAATTTAACATTGTTTCAACTATGCAGCAGATTTGAAAAAAAAGGACAATTACTTAAAGAGCCTGCTTTTCTTTTGTCAGGTGGTTACATCAATTAGTAGCGAGACCACACTTCAGGCTGTCTCAGTATTAGATTCAGTGTAACAAAGCACCACTCCAGTTTGTCTTCTGCTCGCCAACTCTCTCTGATTGTGCATGATCACTTACATACTCGTTCCTAAGAAATAGTCATACACACTGTTTGTCTTGTATTTGTAAAAAGTAAAATATATTATTAAATTTAATTTTACAAGTTAGTGTGCAATAGTCTCATTGAAACGCTCGTCCCTCTGTTACACACCTACCTCATGAAAGAGGTGCACAAGGAGTTCTTCTGTCCTTAAAAAAAAAAGTCTACTTCAACACTGAATTTTTACTTTCTTCCTCCACAGCTAACAAAGTCTGTCTCAGCATGAGTGTTTTTGCTCAGCTCACACGGTTACAGTTCCATCCAGCGACGGCCTCGGTGCACTCTGGAGCCATCCTGCAGGTGGAGCTCACTCTACGATGTTTGATGCCCGTGTCGGTGCGCATACAGCAACTAGCTGCTAGTATTCACTTTGATGTGGATCATGGAGGGACTCACGGAAGGTCTAAGGGAGCTCAGAGACAAACAAACCCAGGGACAGTAGAGTTTAACCACGGTAGCTCATCAGCGGGGCCTCCCTCCTCCTCGGCCACCGGCCCTTCATTAGAGCTGGATGAGATTCAGGACAGGAGTCCTTCGGACAATTCTCTCAACTCTACAGGAGTGGTGTGTAAAAACACTCACCTGATCATGCGTCGTCATGACAGCAATTCACCGCCGGACACGCCCAACTGTGTCAGCCCTCCTACTGTTGCCATGAAGGAAGGAGCACAGATGCTGAAGGTGCAGGATGTAACGTTAGAGCCTGGGAACAACAGCATCACCTTTACAGCACCAGTAAGACACTTGACTGCAACACTGCCACTCCAAAGTTGTTGGGTTTTTTTTTAACATTCAAGAAAAGTTATTTGTCCTTTCCACTTTCTACTCTCTGTGAACTTTGACTGATCTGTCTGATAAAACATTCTTCTTTTTGTCTCACTTTCCATCTTTTGTTGTGCCACTCTTGTCTCTCCTCTGTTTTTCTTTGTAGAGTGAACAGCCAGGTACTTACACGTTGCGTCAGCTGTGTGCCACAGTTGGCGAGGTGCAGTTTGTCCTGCCTCACATCTATCCGTCGGTCCAGTATGAAGTGTATTCTCAGGAGCCCCAGCTCACCGTGGAGCCTCTCTCAGGTCAGAATTTTTAATATGATGAGTAAAACCAAACGCTTCCAATCTCAGGTTGTGGTATTTTGAAATTGTACAAATGAAGATGATTTTCTGAAACACTGAAGTTGTGTGCATTTTTACTCATTTATCTTTTAAATTGATTTCTACTGACAAATGAACAGCCTAAGAAATTTCTGTGAATCTCCTGCAGTGCTGAGCATTGTGTTTGCACTCACAGCTTTTTCAGATCTCTGTTATTGATCAAACTTAAAATGTAGACCATGAAAAACAGTCCCGAGGCTTCATCAGCGAACCATGTTGTGAATGTGTATGTGACTGTCTTAAAGGAAAGCACAAGAGCCTGAGCGTATCTAGAATAAATCCCTTATGCTGTTGAGTCTCACATTTGTGTGTAGTTAGTCACATGATTTAACTGTCTCTGCATAAGCCTGGTAGGTTCTGTTCTGTATTTGCTGTGTATAAATACACAGGGTTTGTGATATCATCATCTGCAAACGCTGTGAAGATAATATAAGGTTTTCCCACTTGCAGTTATTTATTTTTTGACTAAAGAGAATTTTCGGACTATGGAGCGCACCTGAATATAAGCCACACCCACTAACTTTGAAAAGAAAAAAAAAAAGTGTACATATATAGGCCGTACTTGTCTATAAGCCACAGGTGTCCATGTTGTAACATGAGATATTTACACAGTAAGATTTCTTTTTAACTTTTAATTAAATGCATACCGGTAGCATACACAAATACGTACCGTAAATGCTTTTTTCCGAACAGTGCTGTAATACAACTGGTTAAAAAAATTAAAAATACAGTCGCCTACCAGAAAAGTCATTAATCACTATCTTCATCTTCCTCCCGCGCACTAAAACCACTAAAGTCGTCTTCTTCAGTGTTGGTATTGAACAGCCTCAGAATTACTTCGTCACACACTTCCTCAGTCTCTCTTTTTTGTTGTCGCTGTCAATGTCACTTATGTCTTGAGGCAAATTCATAAAAATCCATTAATTAGCTACATCATTGTTTAAGCCGCAGTGTTCAAAGTGTGTGAAAAAAGTAGCGGCTTACAGTCCACAAATTACAGTAATAACATTGAGCAGAAGTAAAGGAACTGTACTCACTAGTTTAGTATTGATGGTAGTTTAAGTTCGATATTTTCCCAACTTCTGATTAGTCCATAAAACAACATGCAGGTGATACTATCAGTGTGTTTAGAGTATCAGTATCTTTATGTTTTATTTACAAGCTTGTCAGTGTGCCTTTACAAATTACTGATCCTAATGACCATGCAACAAATCAGGAAGTTTCACCAGCTTGCTTCAGTTGACTTTCCTCCTGTTCAGATTAACAATGTGTCGCTTTTGTTTTTACACATGAACCTTATGTGTGTTTTTTGCTCATTGTGTTTGTGTGTTCAGAGCCGCTGTTGGCCGGCCTGCCTCAGATGGTGAAGTTTACTCTGTTGACGGGTCACTACGCTGTGAAGAAGGGAGATGCTTTGCAGCTCAGCAACACAGACACCATGCCCATCCTGCCCTCCAGCAGCTGCACTGCCCGCATCAGCAGCCCTACTGCTGGTCAGTAACTACATCTAGGCATAGGAAGTTACCATTGATACCCTCATGATGGTTTTGGGTTTAGGTAGTTAGTGATCTTTTCTGACGGTTTATCCCACTACTGTCTTTCTTTCCCTGGCTGAAAGCTTTTGTGGTGACTAAGTGTAAAAATCATGCATGAAATGTGATTACACATTGACATAGCAGAGAAACCAGGGTTATCCAGCGTAAAAGCACCTTTTGTTTTCTTGTCTTGTCCCAATCACTCTGACAAATCCCTGCATCGTTACTACAGAAAGGTGACCACAACAAGTGCACCTATATACAAATTAACTGAGGCCATGTTTACACATAACCGGGTATTTACAGAAACGGATCTACGTTTTCAGAAATAACGATGTTCACACCAGATTGTTTAAAATAATAAAAAAATCTTTGTTTACACAAACCCGCATAAACATGTCGTTAAGAACTGCTATGAGCATGCCAGATCTATACGGGGCAGTGTAACGGGAAGCATAAAGCCATGCTAGCCAATCAGAATCCTGGAAAAAAACACAACGAATGGCACAAATTAGTTCTTGTTACTTCAACGATAATGGCACGATGGTTGTTTGTTTGGACCAATAGAGAAGTGGAGCTACTTCTAAATGTGGTGTAAGAGAACAAAACAAGTAAAATACTTGAAAATATTGACATTATATTAATATTACAAATATTAACAGCATCCGTTTCTATCACGGGAGCCAAACTGTAAACATGGGTCGCACACATATGATGCTGATGATGCTTTTGTCACATGCTGTAACATCAAACTCAATCTCCTGTCTACATGCAAACGTTAAGACGGAGTTTTTCCAAATCTCCGCTTTGGCCGAAATTTTTAGATATGATCATTTTTGGTGACTTGTAGGTGGTTTATATGTAAACCAAAGGCCCAAACACATTGAAATATCACCATTTGTGCTATGTGTAAATGGGGCCGAAGACAAGTTTAAAAGTCTTACATCTGGATTTTGTGTCACGTTTTCAGAGTTGGTAGATGAAAGCACTCTGTCCATCCAGTCGTCTGAAAAGGTGACCAGCATCACCCTTCCTCCCACTCCTCCCTACCACACTCTGGAGTTCCAGCTGGAGGTTTTGTGCATTATCCCGTCCGGATCCGAGCGACCCGCCAATGAGAGGCTGACCAACGGGGAGGTGCGCCATCGACCTCGAAGCTACAGTCATCCCGACACGCCCATGACCGCCATCGACCAGAGGGTGAGAAAAACAAACACATTTCACACTTTGAGATAGTAGAATGAGTTTTAACTAATGTTGGAGAAATGAGTGAGGCAGCGATGGAGGCATTTCACATTTCTGCTGCTATGGATGATACCTATGCAGCATATTGTGCATTTTCTAGAGCTTCAACAATTATACAGTTAATTGAGATTGAGAGTAAGTGGGGATTTGTTTGCCTTCCATTATATTAAATGTATTATTTCTGGTATTGCGAGTCTTGGTTGTACAAAACAGTGAAGCTGATTGTGTCATTTTAGGCTCTAAGCTACTGTAACACACAGTTTTCACAATGATATATAAACCAAACATATCAATTTATTGGCAAAATGTTCAGCAGAGGTAATAATCTGTGAAGAAATTGTTGGGTGCAGCTCTAAACTTTTCTGAAGCAGAACCAGCATCATCCAGATAAATATTGTCTCCTTTTAACTGCATATTGTCTGTTTTGTACCTGGAAATATTTAATAGTACCATCTCGCTTGTTTCTCTCTGCAGATGTCCATCGACTGTCCGTGGTCGATCTACTCCACGCTGCTCGCCCTCACCTTCTACATCCCCTTCAAGACCAAACACTCACTGCTTTCTGCTGGTAACAGGTGAGCCTCCGTTTTCACAGAAATGCATATAAAATTAAATGTTTTATTCTCATTAAAATTTGAAACACAAGTTCCATCAAAATTAGAATAAGAGACAACATTCTGGCTGTAAATCCACTTGGAAAGGACGTAGTTCCTCGTTTCTCGTCTTGATTGCTACTTCTTATCTATAATTAAAGGCTTAAGGGAAGAGGACCTAAATTTGCAGCTGAATGAAGAAATACAGGATTCAATTCTGAACAGGGTCCATTCTTTATCTATATGTGCTCAACGTGGACTCTTTCAGTTTCAAGTTGTCCATCACCTTCAGTATACGGAAGAAAAATTAGCCAAAATTTTAGGATTGAACTCTTTATGTGCTCGATACAAAAATCAAATAGAGACTCTTACCCACACTTTATGGATCTGCTCCTGACTTCATTAGAACTGGGGAGATGTGTTCACAACTCTTCTGAATTTATCTAAGATTCCATTCAATTAATTACCACGAACAGCAATATTTGGAATGGTTGCTGAAGACGCTAACCCTCCAAAAATATAAATCAAATGCTGTTGCCTTTGCATTTGTATTAGATTCACTCTGATCGGATCTATGGATAAATTCCATAAGGCCTGACAGCTGTTCATGTCACACGTCAAGAACTGCAACCTGTATGAAACGTAAAGAGGAAGATTGTATTTACACTTGAGTGTTGCTGAAAAGTGGAGCAAGTTTAGTTGTAATATATCTATTGCAAGTCACAAGATACAAACTTTAATTGAAATAGGTAATGGAAAACTAAAGACATGATGTTCGCAAGATGGCGCTGTCTTGTATTGTTGAGCCGTTAGTGTTTATCCATGGGAATCTTTGGGGAAGTTGCTCGTTCATATGAAATCTACATTATGCAGGAAGCTAATGTTTGCTTATTTAATATTAATATGATCCTTTTTATACATATGACTGACTGGTGACCTTTGATTCGGCCTCTCAGGAAGTACATCCAGGTGTGTGTGCAGAACGTGTCAGATGTGAACTTCACGCTGGCAGAAGTGAAGCTGACAGAGAAGCAACACGTGTCACTGGAGCTACAATCCCTCAACACTAAAACACAACAGGTGAGCAGAGAAAACGAAAATAACCAAATGTCTCAGTGTTTTGAATGATGATGCAGCACTTGTGTAATGTATATCACTTGCAATACAGGGAAATATTAAAAAAGTTGAAAAATATGACTTTTCAGGCCACACAAATGAGCATAAATACAGACTACTTAGTTTCAACCTTCCATCTCAAGGGAACTAACCTGAAGGTGAATCTCTCAATTTCCTGACTTACATGCTCCAATTTATGGTTGTAAATTCTGAGTAGGGCGAGACATTGCTGTGTTTGCGAGCAGCCAAAATGAGTTTCCCAAAGACATCTACAGGTCTTGTAAAATCCTAAAAAAGCATAGAGTTCAGTTTCTCCAAAATAGGAGAAGGTACTAAAGTCTGGAATTTAATTTTTAAAGAGTCCTAAATATTTTTTCCTGCCTGCCGTAGACCACAACGTTCATAGTGATGTCATTTCATACCAGAGTGCAGGTTGTTGGGCGGCATTGCACATACATCACACACCCACAAACCAGTACTTCCTCAATCCAGGTCTACAGCAAAGACTGTATTACTGCTAGCTGCTGTAGGAAGCTGATGGAAATAAAGGAATTTATATTGGCCTAAATTAAATACAGTAATCATTTTTAATCGGCTGATCCATCCATTTTGTGCAGCTCATCAGGGTGTGGTTGCATTAATTTTAGTTCATTACATCAGTATTAATTATTGCCATAAACAAGTATGATGTACTGCATGTAATAAGCAATTATTCTTGGACATATGGTTCCTGCTGGATTTTTATTGTACTTTCATACGTATTAAATGGCCTTCTGTGTGGGATTTTAAAAAAGCCTCATGTAGAAAGGTGAGAAGCTCTGACAGCTGAAGCGATCTTGAAGTTCAAAGCGACTGGATGAGATGGTTTCTGATGAGAAGGTTTCTCTGTGGAGGTTTTCTCAAAGAAATTCAGAACTTGCAGAGTCTGTCTTGATAATTTGTCCATTTAACTGTACTCTTAAACAGGAGGTGGCAGTTACACAACAAGATGTTAATCATCTATTGATCTTGGTGCAAGTTCTCTGAAAACATCTCCTCAGTGAAGAGGGAGCTCATGTCTCAGTATTTTTAAGTTCCTTCCCATCAGTGTGGGCGCTGCCTGACTGTCTATATACATCGTACATGTTTTGATATAGATTGAAAAAAATAAATCAAACATCATCGTTATTTCACACTGATGTCTGGTGTGTCTTCTGTTGTGTGCAGCTTCTGTGCAGTAAGCACAGCGTGTTCTGCCTGTGGGAGGTGAGGTGGAAGGATGACCTGCCCTCCTGTCTCCAGTGTGTTTTCTCTGCCAACTTTTCTCCTCTCAACCAAGACATCTCTGCCTTCAAACCCTTCCACTACCAGTTCCAGCTCGAGAGAGTCACTGTGAGTCCACTTAAACCCTTGTTTTGGTTTCTTTTGCCTTAAATACTCGAGTGCTGCTAGGACTGTGTTGTCAGCAGCTCAAATGTCAACAGCTTTTTAAAAACATCAGAACAGATTAAACATTAACAAGTGACATTTGTTTTCAGTATTTCTATTGTGGCTAGCTGATTACAGCAGGCTAGGTGAGGTTAAATATGAAATTTGGTAAATAAATATGCTTGTGATACGGCTAATGTGAGGAAATGCTTGCTTTTTAGTTCATGGTTAAGAAAGAAGCCCTGCCACTTTTGAGCTACAAATAAATTCTCTTTTGTGCTTTCAGACATTGTACAGTGTGAGAGCAGAGATTTTGCCTCCTGCCGGTGAGCAGCACTGTCGCTCAGGTTTCCTCTGTGGACTTGAGGTGTGTATAACACGACTGACTGAACCTGCAGAAGGAGAGGTGGCAGAGGACAGCAAGACTGACACTGATGGCCTCAGAACCACCAAACTCATGTATGAAGGTATGTTATCAGGCACCTTTTCTAAAAGATCATGAGAGATGGTAGAGGTTGGTGAAAGCACAAACAATAGACAATGGAGGTTTACAGGAGGACTAAAAAAGAAATTGTCATTTGTCTTTTAAGCCAATCAAATGTATACTTTTGCATTTCCAGTCCTAGTTGAACGTTACTTGAGCTCTTGTGATCAGAATCAGAGACAGTTTTATGCTTATTAAAAGAACTTGATGTTTTAGTGCATAACAGTAAACAGTGATATATAAATGTGTTGTGAGTCGGTGAGCAGTAAGTGTTGTTGTGAGGTTCCTGCCTCTTAGATTTACACCTGCAGCTTTGTTTTTTGCCATATGCCTTTGTTTTCATTTCTGTCTTTTGTTACACTTGATATTTAATAGACTAAAAAGGTTAAATGAAAATGAATAACTGGTTGACCAATCAATAGGAAACAATAATTAGTTGTAGACAATTGAAAGCGAAGGATCTCAGTGTGTGAGTCAGCTGTTGACTATAAACTTAGCCTTTAAGTCAATTTTTATCAGTTTTCTCAGATACTCAAACGTTTTTATTAGAAGTAGATTGATTATTGGTAGATTAATTTGGTTTTGTAGAAGTACCTGTATCTATAAAGCAATCTCATATTTTCCTTAGCCACTGTAGCTAAAAACTGTAGAGCCAATGCAACATCAGTACTGAGGCCTGATCTTGTGCATGTGCGTCCACAGTGGCTGACAGCAGCAGTAACTGGGCGGTGTGTGGAAAGAGCTCAGGGATGGTGTCAATGCCCATGACGGCCAATGCCACCCACAAGGTGCAGATCGAGGTGATGCCGCTGTTTGCGGGACACCTGCCCTTCCCCAAGATCAAAGTGCTGAAGTACCTGCCTCACACTGCAGCGGTGGCCATTCAGCCAGACCCGGGTAAGAGTCCTTGACCGTAGTAGCACACATCTTTTAAGATGTTGGTTCAATTGTGAAGAAATGGACACTTAAATTTTAAACAAGCAGCAGAAATTCTGGTTTAGCAACAGCAGGTAAAATTACAGAAGAAGAACGTTGTACAAAAATGTCCTAAAAGAGTAAAAGGCAGCGAAATATTGAGTAAACAACACCTTAGCATTGTTAAACCACCGGTTCTCTATCAGCCAAATTAGGTTCAGGACAAATGTTAAGCACAAGCTCTGAGCACCAAGCGGTTTCTAGGAGTTTATTGCTCGTTGTGGGCTCATTCTTCACTGCAAAATAAAGTCTTGCACCTCTTCTGAAAAAGCACATCCATGGCTAGAATTAGATAGAACTCAATGCAATGGAGAAAAACTGGTGATTCTACATAATACGGATATTTTGTTATGTACATTTTTAATTTGTTCCCATACTTGTCTCCTATATGCTCCTGAAACATGGCCTGCAGTTCAGCCCAGTTCAGCCCAATAGTTCCTGAATTTTTGTCATGTGATTATTGGTTGCAGCTGAGTCACTAAAGCAAGGGTGTCCAATCCTGGTCCTCGAGAACACAATCCTGCATGTTTTAGACGTTTCCCTCTTCCAACACAAATGATCAGCTCATCATCAAGCTCTGCAGAAGCCTGATAACAATCCTGATCATTTGAAACAGGTGTGTTGGAAGAGGGAAACATCTAAAACATGCAGGATTGTGGCCCTCCAGGACCAGGATTGGACACCCCTGCAGTAAGGGCTTTTTGGTTGTGCCAAGCAGTGCAGATTTTTTAGTATTTTAATGAATATGGTTAGTGCAAATAGTTGATTTTTGGCAAATTTTTAAACAAAGAGATTCTGATGAAATCTTACAGTTTTACGCTTATAGTTAGTTATTGCACAAGATTCTTTTTTACAGTTTTTGTTCTGATAAATGTTGTCATTTTCAACATTTTTTTTTTCAAAGAAAACATGTTTCTCAAACCTGCCAGTAAGTTTTGGTTTTCAGAGGGTTGAGTGGAAGCAGGTCCATGTTTCCAGTAACATTGAAAAGGAGAAGATTTAATGAAGCCACAAAAACCCTCTTCAACAAAAGACATAAAAGATTATTTAGGGTTTTAATTTAGATTTTATCTCTCTAAAGGGTTTGGCAGAATTGGGCATTTTGTTTACAACCTTTCTGCCAGCTTGTGTTCTGTGATGTTTGTGTGTTTGTCAGAGCATCCCCAAATCTCAGCAGCAACATTGCAGTGGCAAATGAATGTCTTTTGGCTTGCTGATCTCCTCTCTCATCAAGTTTATTCCTTTCCACCCTCAGATAGCTGCGTGGAGAATGACAGTCTGTCCCTGCTGGACAAGACGCTGGACGACCAGGCGGACACAGCGAGCATCCGCAGCCGAGGCAGCGTCCACTCTGTGGGCAGCGGCGACCAGCAGCAGAAGGGTGTGGCCATGCCACGTCTCGAGCCCTTCAGCCCCGGACAGGTGTTCAACCACACCCACGCACGCCAGGTCCTGGTGCTGCCCTCCACTGACGACCACATCATGGAGGTCAACGCCACATGACCCTGGTGGCGAGACCACCCGAACCCTTGTTGTCGGACTAAACCCGGATGGACTCCACCGAGCCTTTGCTCTGGGGCGGATCGGGTCCATGAGTCCATGTCAAACACCGCCGCAGGTTGCCGGTATGGACTCACCCCCTAAAGCATGAAACGTTCACATCACTGGAGACATTATGGACTAGACAGTGACGAGCCAATGACATCTGCTGATAAATTTAAATAAAGATTTTTCTTTGCCATACTTTGTACATAGCTCATTGAATGGATTTATAGGTATAAATATATAAATATATATATGGACTGATCGATCAGATCGGCGCCTGAAGAAAAACACTCCTGATTGTCCCATGATGCACCAAAGTCCTAGATGTGTGTACGCCTCGATCAGCTACTCAAGTACTGTAACTTCGACTGAGTGTGTCCAGCTCTAAGTGCTTCTCTGAGCCTCTCGAGTCATTTCTTATAATTGAGACTTTTATGATTGCAATCAAGTTGCTGAAAATGCTGCTGTTTTAAAGTCTAAACCAAGCAGGTTAGCAAACATTATTGCAACTTTGGAGACATATCCATAATCCTGACATATTTTTCTGTCCTGTCAGTACAAAAAAATAGTCATCCAGGTGTAAATTAAAGTAGGGACTCTGTAAACTCGACAGATGTGAGACGCCAGAGATGAGGGTTGTGTAGCGTCATTGTGAGAGACAACCAACGCACCTTCTGGGGCCTCAAAGGTTCTGGTGAAATATTTCCCATTTCTCTGCTGAGTTTTTGCAATTCGTTGACTGAAAATGATCCATATTACCTCAGAGTGCTTTTCCCCACACAGCTGTTAGCATGAGGAGTCAGGAGAGAAACTACGTGAGTGCTGCGAGGTGCTACAGTGAAGTCATTCCTCGGAAATTAACAGTTTTTTTACTGTCATGTAAGATGTGATGATTCAGTCTAAGTAGCAAAAACTTGCAACGATAGTCACCCAATCTGACACAGAAACCATCCTAAAGGTAAAATATTGTGTAGTCTCATCCTGAAATGGCACTTTTCTCCAGATGATTACAGTTGTAATGTTGTCATGTGAAGTAATGTTGCCTTGTTTTCTGATTTTCAACAGTATACAAGGAGTTCCAAACTGTTACGTCTACATTTAAACTAATTTTGGTGCCAGCTGCTCAATTAATGAGACACTATATCTAAAGTTTAAATGCTTTGCTCACTGATTCGTAGATCCTCAGACAATAATAACTTCACTTTAGGTTAAATAATTAGTGGTATTTAGTCAAATGAATTCCTGAAATGTGTTGGAAGATTCAAGAAGTGTTTTTTTCATGACAACATGATGAAAATATACAAATTAAAAATGCCTACGCTGTATTCTAAATACCTGTCTTAGTCTTAAGTCTTGCAGGACAGAAAAGTGAAGACATAATTAGCACAAAGCTCTCAAATGTGAAATGCCTGGAGAGGCTCGGGCCGAGTGTAGCGGTGTGTGTCGTGTTTCTGTTTAGCTGTAGTTCTGTGTACATGCGAGGATCTGTGATTTGCAGGTGTGCGCGATCGGGTGAGGCTTCGACACAAGGGTCGGCCACGCGCATCGCTGTCTTATCTATCGTCAATGGATTGTTCATGCTGTATACTGAGTGTGCATATTTATTCTGTGTGTGGGGTGTGTGTGCGTCGCCAAATCTGTGTCCGAGCTATGCACACATGCCGCTGAATGGATGAGTGAAGTAGATTACTGGATTTATTCATTCATTTCTGTCAAAGGATGAATGTCTGCTACCCCCAACCCCCCACTACTACCACCACCAGCCCTCCTGTCCTCCTCCCTTCCCCTGGCGCAGGCACACAGTGTAACTACAGCCCCCTGCTCCTCTTCGACCACTGTACATACTGATGTGTAAATAATGATTCAAATGAAAATCATCTTTGATTGCCAACTATATTAAAAAATCATTGGAACTGACCTGGGTGTATGTGTATGTGGTGTTTATAGTGGCATTTCAGCAGGAAAGTTCTAGGTCAGACTCGTGTCTGTGCCATCTTTGTCTCCAGGAATGTACAGATGGGTGACAAATTAAAGGAAAGGCTGACATAAAGTGTCTTAGCAAGGTGATGGCATTGATTGCACCAGGTGTCTAGAACACCATTTTTTTTCAAAAATTATTCCCTAATTTGGTGTTTTGAGGATGTTGGTGGAGATTGCTGCCTGAAACATTGGTACTGAATTAGTGATGCACAATATTAAAATTTCTGGCCGATACTGATATCTGATATTAAGATTTCTGATATCGCAGATAACCAATATTACCAATGTCGATATTCAATTTTTGTTCACAATGAAAAATGAGTATAAGTAAGCACTGTGAGAATGTGAAAACTACTTAAAGGTAGCCTATACCAAATTAGACCACATAGTCTTCTTTATTACGTAGCAAAAGTAAAACATATTTTAACATATATAAGTCCAGAAACATTTAAGTAAAAACATCTGTGAAATAGCAGCAATATCAAATGCAGAGACGAAGGCACTAATGTTAGACAGTCATTGTTTATTCGCATTGGCTAAATTTGTTCAACGGATCGATACCGATATATGGTGAAAAAAAAATAAAAATCAGTCGATACCGATGTGGTCGCAGATATATCGTCAATCCCTATCCTAAATCTAAAGATAAAGATAAAGATAAAGATAAACTTTATTCATCCCGAAGGAAATTGTTTTGCCAGAGTACAGTTAAAGCAAGCAAAACAGTTAAAGTAACTACCATAGGTGCATGCGATCCACAATGTTTTTATGCTGATGAAATCATTTAGTGAGCCCTTGTGTCATATATAAAGGAGCGTTGTCATCCTGGAAGAGACCACCACCACTACTACTACCAGGATAGATGGGACACAAACCCATTCTGGCAAAATGATCCACAAATAGCGTAACAGAGCCACCAGATCTCCTTGATGTAGGGGTCAAGAGTTCAGGTTTTTCCTTTCATTTGTCACCTGTCCTTATGTTCATCAGTTGCTAATGCTCTGAAAAACTTAGGACTCTGTGTGAGTCCATTTTAATATTCATGTGGCATCGACAGACACAATAACTGTTTGCATCTTGCCCTATATATCTTCATGTAATCAAGATAATATCTGAACTTATCTGGTTGATATCATCCATCCATTATTTATACACCACTTAATCCTCACTAGGGTCGCCAGGGGCCTGAAGCCTATTCCAGCTGATCAAACATCAAATCAAATTCTGGTTAACTTTAATGAAAGTGTTTGTAGATTTCAAATACAAAATACATATTTTTCATTTAGATGTTGGTGAATCTGAATATTTATCACTTAATATTCTTATTTTAAAAAGTCCACTTCTTTATTGTGACTGATTTACATTCAGGTGTTCGTCACGCCTCATTCACCGCCTCAGGCTTTTCTCATTAAAAATCACTGCCTCACAAGCCAGGCACATATCCATTAACACATCAATACATTGACCATTGGATCTAAACTTCTCACATTGGGACAGGTAAATAGGTTGGCCATGTATCGTAGCATCTCATAAATTAAGTTACATTCTATAAGTATCTGATATTTGTATGAATGAGTCAGTCTACCTATCAGGAGCAGAACAGTTGTCAGTAGGTTTGATGGTGCTGTTTAAGCCCTGTTATTGTCAGTAAAATCTTTATTTAAAAAAACAAACAAAAAAAAAACAAGCCTAGTAGCATTTTTGGCATAATTTGAAGCAGGTATTAAGCTAAAAGAAACAGCTCTTTTTGAGATTATGGGCAACACTGACCTAAAGGTTGATCTGTGATTTGACTGGAGGATTTAAAGACATAAGATGGTTGACCACTTAAAAGTAAAATATGTGAAGTTTTTGTATTTAAATGTCCAAAAGCAACCAATAATAGACCAGAGTTATATAGTGACTATTAAAAGTATCCAAGACGAGACACAAGAAGAGAGGCATTTTAAAAAGTGAGACTTGACTGTTGTTTTACAGCGATGTCAGTTAAACATGACGTCTGGCATCATCTATTCATTGTTTTGTTACAGCCGAGTGCTGCATTTTATGATCTCTGTAGGATGAGCAGAACATTGTTCATGACAACTTACAGTATATATTTACTCATAACTCATATAGTGGGATATTACACAAAAACATTTGCCAAGCCATGTGCTAGTTGTGCGTCTTTCATACGTCACAGATGCTAAAAACACTTCCACAATGGATTCAGTGAGAACACACCTGCGTGTCCTCCTTCATAGCTCCTCCAGCAAACCTCCTCGCTCCTCGAGGTGTGTTTTAGGAATGGAGGCGTCCATCAAAACGACAAGCTGCGATTGATTTCTGGGTTAAAGGCAGGAGGACGGAGGAGACGAGGAGGCCCAACTTAGAGAAATGAGTTGCATTGAAGACCTAAGCTCTTTTTTAAAATTTCCACTTGAAAAAATCCTCAAATGCAGCCAGTAATAAGCTGCAACACTGTCAAAAGGAACAGCTTTGGGCTCAATGGATCAGAGACACCTGAGAGAATTTTAAAATGAAATAAATCTCATTTTTACAACAAGTGAGTGAGATTTGAAAAACGAAAGCAAAAATGGACATTTTTACAACTTAACCTCTTAAGACCTGGTGTCCACATGCTTGGAAATCACATTTTGGGTTCTATTACCACAGTAGTTGATTTTTTATTTTATTTTTTAAATTTTTATGATTTTATTTTTATGATTTTATTGTTTTATATATATATATGTATATATATATATATAATTTTAAAAATATTTTGTTATATATATTTTAAAATATATTTTTATTTTCTTTATATTTTTCATTCTCTTTGCTATTTGATCAGATCAAATAAAAAAGTCATAGTAGATGTGCTAAACTTGCCTGTACAGAAGGGTGTAAAGGTCAAAAGGTTAAGGGACATATGTTTTATTTTAATTTTATTTTTTTTGCCGTTTCTCCTCATTCTAAATACTTTAACCACTTGAGGTCGCTCACAATTCTGATGAATATACTGAGGCCATAAACTGTGACAGGGATTGTAAATATATCTGTTTGTTTTTGAGGGTCACAGCCTGAAGATTTTGGGAATCGTTTCTACGACGGTGAACAGATCAAACGGAGTGAACAGCTGTTGGTTTGCATTATTCCAACAAGGAGTTACCCTCAGCGAACACTAGATGGTGGAATAAACTCACAACTGGAGCTCGTAAAGTGCTGAAGGTTGCTCAGTTCTAGTTCCCAGCTCTGCAGAACAAACGGTTTCAGCTCCACCGCTGTTAAAATGCAATAAAGCAGCATGTTGTTGCTGTGCAGTTCTACTTCTAGTGCTGTGGTGCTTTCATTGGGATTAATCCTTAAGGAAAACGCAACGAGGACAATAAGTTTTAGCATTTCATGAAACAGCCAGAAACTGACGAGTCCTGCAGCTGAAATCATCACTTTCTAGTTACATAGTTTAATTCTTTTTTAAGAACTGATTAAAGCTGTTTGTTTTTTTTTTCATTCATCAGCTTCTCTGATGTGAATATTTGCAAGTTCCCTCCACTTTCTGTGCTGTTAAAACAAAACAAGACATTTAAATATGTTCACTGAGGCTGCAGAGACGTGACTGACATTTTTCAGTTTTCTGACATTTTACACACTGAACAACCAACTGATTATTAAAGAAAACCAACTGCAGAAGTATTGATAATGAAAATAACTGTTGATTGCAGCCTTGCAGTTCTTCTCTGAGGAAATACCACTTCACTGCCTCTGGTTTTGTTGTGTGTTAATTACTTGACAGGGAGGGAGGGGGGAGGAATGAAAGCAATTTAATGAAACAGAAATTTACAACGAACGGGCAGCAAATGCAAATTTACACACTCTTGGTTATAGATTTTGACACAAGACTAGAACCACAGAACAGAGGATGGAGCATCCATCGCAATTTTGAACAAATGTGAGAGGAAATGTGCTACAGTTAGGCACTAAACACATTTTCTCTAGTTTCTAAGTCATCCTCCAGATTCTAGACAGTATGCCCTGCACCATTATGGAAACACATCTCTACTGCCGGCACTTCATTGTGAAATGCATGTCAAAGTGTGACAACAACAGACCAAACAGTTTTTAAAAGCTAAAATAAAGAATTTGCATATTATCGCATCACATGATGGAAGATCTGCATAGCTTAGATAAAAGAAATCAGATACTGCATGTGTTAGTTTCCTTTATTATGAATACAGGAGCTTAAAACGAGTGAATGTTCATTGCTCATAGCATTGATAACATATTGTGTGGTCACTTGGTCTTGACAAGTTTTCAGTCATGTTTCTGGAAGCTGCGTTTTTTGAGTTGTTTTTAAATGTCATTTTTGCTTCTTAGAGCAACCAAAATGAAATTACATGGCCACTGCATCTGAAGCAAGACAGAACACCTACAGGACAACAAAAAGTTTTTAAAAGGTTGAAAAAAAAATTTTTTTTTTTAATTAAAAATGATACATATATAAAATCAAGGTTTAATCTTTATAACAGTTTACTACTTCAAGTTTCCCATCTGTACCATGGGTGTGCTGAAAAAATACCTCTACAGGGGACATTCCAGGCAGGAAAACTAACATCTAAAGAGGAACTTGAACACTTTTCCTTCAGTGTTAAACCGTGAGCTGAGCTGAGCCTGATGAGCTCCACCTCCTCACCTCCTCACCTCCTTATCTCCTCATTAACATGATGATGCAGCTGGAGGCTCGTCACACTCAAACTAACGACAGTCTACAGGTGAGGATCCAGAACCAACCTGAGGCTAGGCATGAGTCCTCTGCTGCTGCTGTTGACGGTGTGTTTCCTCAGTGTCGGAGCTCCGTCTCCGTTGGAGGAGATGAAGGTGGAGATGAAGGAACAGGAGCGGCTCTTCCTCAGCGCCCTGGGCCTCAACGAGCGGCCTCGGCCCACAGCAGCAGCCCGGCAGACCGCCAGGCGCCGCGTCCCCTCCGCGCTCTGGAGGATGTTCCGGAGGTCCGACGGCGAGCCGGAGGAAGACGGCGAGTCGTGCACGGTGTCCCAGTACGGAGTCCGAGGCAACATCATCCGCTTTGTGCAGGACCAAGGTACACTGTAAAAAGAAAACGGTTTTTATTGTAAAGTTTGAAGAAAATGACCTGTTATTTTACAGATGTACCATGTTTTGTCAAAATGTAGATCATAAATAGTGAAGTCACAGAAAAGAAGTAGTTAATTGGCAACAATTTAAAAAAGAAATACAAGTCAAGAGTGTAAATAATGTCCACATCAGAAATCTGCATTCTTTTACAACATTTGACCATTACACCTTAAAAAAAAAAAAAAGTATATTATTTCAAAAATATTATTTCGGAGGTTCTTGCAGTTTTTTGAAAGAAGACTTCGGTATGTCAAGTATTTTTAGCAGCAGTCACAAAAAAATCCCTGTTTAGTCTTACAGATAATATCTAGAAAAATGACAGAAAGTAAGCATTCCTTTACATGTTAACCGTAAAAAAACAACCAAAACTGTAAATAATATCCACATCAAAAATGTATGCTTTTATAAATGGTCATTTGTTCTTTTGCGACGGTTGAGAGTAAATTTGCACTTCTTTGAAACTGTTAAACATATAGTTTTAAGATGTTTGATATTATCTCAATGAAAAAAATACACATAGGTTGATCATTTTTAATGTTATTTTACAGATTTTTCCTGTTTTTGTTAAATCACAGATAGTAAACTAGTAAATGTGCAATATTTTACATGTTATCTGTATAAAACAAAAGGGGCCATAAATGAAAAAAAAAATCCACATAAAAAATCAGTCCCTCTATAAATGACAATTTGTTGGTTTGCAGTATTTGTTTAAAGAAGAAGAAAAACATATACTCATTTAGTATTTTGGTGAATTGCAGATAATATAATAAAATCAAAGGAAAAAGTAATATTTATACACTTTACAAAAAAATTCAAAACTATAAATCATATCCACATTAAAAATCTGTACTTTTATAAATAGTAGTTTGCTGTTTTACACTGAGTGACCATAAAATTCTACAGTTAAATTATATTTAAATTAGCTACAAATTATGTTACAGACATTTGCTGTCATTTTCACTGGTTTCACAGTCTTCCAACATTACTGTATTTCACCATTTAGTTGCAGACGGATTTTCAGATTAACAGATTTTTTATTTTATGTATTTATTTATTTTTTAAAATGCCAGCACACTGTTAACTTTAGTGTGTGATTTTGTTGTTTGAGCAGTTCAACCTGGATCAGATTGATTCCATGTTTTACTGTCCAGGATCAGGTCCTCTAAATGGTTGGTTTAAAGTTTTGTTATAATTTGTTCCTAGAGTCCAGGAATCCAGATGCTCAGAGGCATTTCACAGCCTTCAAGAAAGACAGAAATCAAACATTTGTTGTTAAATGGGTTTTAAAGATGCACCTCTAAAAATGTATGTGCACACTTTCATAGAATTCACGTAGATAAAATCTGATTTGGGAGACATAAGAGAAACAGAAATATTCTGTTGTGGAGTTTACATGGCAAATGAAATGGCTGTTAAAAATCTATTTAATACACCTTAACAAAAGTTAAATAAATAGTCCGTCTGTTGGCACCTTTTTGGGTACAGAAACTGATTTTTTATTTTTTTTTAAGTTTGGCTAATAGCCTTGAAATGTTTGTATGTGTTATGTCTGTAGCAAAAATGGCACATTTCTCTAAAGTTTGTTTAAATAATTATAACTTCAAAAACTGACTGTATAGTGAGAGTATAGTGACTCTGGGGGGGAAAAAAATCCCATATTGGATGTGTCTGCGAGCTTGGCACATCTTTGTTCATGAGAAAGCAGGCTGAGCCACGAAAAGTGAAATAATGAGCAGGATTTGCACACAAGTATGAAAGAGAGAGAGTATTATTTATTGATCAAAGTGTTATTCAGTAACAAGGCAGAGCAAACAACCAAAACACATGTCAGCTTAATTTAAAAAAACAAAACAAAAAACAAAAGCTCAGTGGAAGGCTGTTGTTCTGAGGTGTTTGAACTAAATCTTGCTGGAAATGTGCTTCAGAGTGTGTACGAGCAGTATTCAGTGATTTATGTGATCATGCACCAGCTCTCTACGTACATTTTAAAATGTTTAAATAGTCCTGAAAACCTGAGAGTCTTTTGTTAAACAGCTCGTCTCCCTGCTGATGTTTTGCAGGCGGGATGGCCGAACTGAGCAGCAGCTGTCAGGCCTGTATGGAGAAGCAGCTCTACTTCAACATGTCCGTCCTGCAGCCTGTGGAGCTGCTGTCTCTGGCTCAGCTGGAGGTCACCTTCCACTGGAAGCCCCTCCGACCCGCCGAGCTTTTGCATAGCTACCCGGCCGTCGGCGTGTCTCTGTACACGGTGTCCCCAACCACGCTGAAGGGTGTCAGGCCTCAGGCCAACCGCAGACTCCTGCTGTCCCGGTCGGTGCAGCTGCAGCTGGAGCCCATCTCAGTCAAGCTGGACCTCACGTCTTTGGCAGAAAGATGGCGCAAACCAGGACACAACTACGGTTTGTTTTTAGAGCTGCTGACCCCCACCACGGATCTGGACGAGCTGCTACCTTTCTACTCCAGTAACTTGCTCCCAATGGATAGAACCGTCATCCTGCCGCTGGTCCAGGCCTCGCTGGTCGCTGTGTCCCTCAACCCCCACCAGTGTCGCCCCCGGCAAAGGAGAAGCACCTTCAACACCCCGGTGACGCCCAGCAATGTGTGCAAGGCCCGCCGCCTCTACGTCAACTTCAGGGATGTGGGCTGGCAGGACTGGATCATTGCCCCGCACGGCTACATGGCCAACTACTGCCACGGCGAGTGTCCCTTCCCACTCAGCGAGAGCCTTAACGGCACCAACCACGCCATCCTGCAGACCCTGGTGCACTCCCTGGACCCGACTGGCACGCCTCAGCCCTGCTGCGTCCCCATCCGCCTGTCCGCCATCTCCATGCTCTACTACGACAACAACGACAACGTGGTGCTCCGGCATTACCAGGACATGGTGGTGGATGAGTGCGGATGTCGTTGAGGACGGGTTTGACATCCACTGGTTCTGTTTTTGTTTTTTTTAAGCTTCTTTTTCCAAAGTGAAGATTTTAAAACAGTTGTAGTTTTTGTTCAGTTGTCTGTTTTTGTCAGTATATGATGGGATGTCTTTCTACTCAGTGATTTTTAAACAATGTAAGATTTGTATTTGCTTGTTCTCATGAAAATTTCTAAAAGTTTTTGTGCATGAAGGTTTAAAAAAAAACACACACCAAAAAACTGCATTTGAAAACAAAGCATTTTTCATGGAGGTATTTTATTAAGCCAATTATTGTCTCTGAATAAAGTCATGTATTTGGATTAACTTCAACAGTATGTTTTCCCTGATTTCACAAAATATTTCCTAACTTTAACAAAAGACAGCTGTCATACTTGTTGTTTCTTGAGATGTAATGGTTTCCTGACAAGGTTTTGCTCTCTGCCCACCGACTTCGTATCTTCAGGTTTCATCTTGTGAGAAATTTTAAATACCTGAGTGACTTAACTCTTGATAAGTCTAATTTTTTTTTTTTTTTTGATCACAGGTGTCCCAATCCTACTGAAAGGAGAAAGACACAAATTGAAGATTTGATCCAGGCTCCCCCCCCCCTCAAACAACCCATTTTTATGATTTGATCCAGTCACAAGTATTAACATTTGAACAACTGGGCCCGCAACATACGCAGCTTAAACGTATTTATTTAAAAACTTTTTTAATCAATTAATTTGATGAATTGAACTCTACCCATCCACAAACATCCAGGCTAATCTAAAGCTCAGCATCTTGGTCTGTCTTTTTGGAAAACCAGATGTTTGATCCCCATCGTGCTTTTGAAGTTAAGCAATCCTGCTCACTTTCTAACAGTATTAAGCAATTTGACATTACGGCACCCTTAGACTGTGCATTGCAGGAATAGCGACGGAACTATTGGAATTTATTCATGATTCAATGGTTTTTCTAGTTCATAAAATGTCAGAAGATGAGAGCCCCAAAGGGATGCCTTCCAGTCTAAGACCTAAAGATAGTTGAGTTGCAAAGATGAAAAACAAAGAAAAGAAGCGAATCTCGCATCCGAGACGCTGGAAGCGCAGACTTTTTGGCTTTTAGGTACGATAAATGACTTGAGCAATTTTCGTTGAAAGCGGTTAATCAATTATTCAAGTCTGAAATGCAGCCTGAAGGTGAACCTTCTTGGAAAATACACGCTCATTTTAAACTGGATTACAGGATATACATTCCTTGAGCCACCATAGAGACATTTCTTCTGCCATGTTTAAGTTAAGAAATGCAATATTCGCTTTTTTTTTGGTATAACTGCAAAAATCCACAGTTTAAATCCTCGTATGAATATAAATGATCCCACTACCAAACATCCAGATGACCCTGTTTACAGTTTGCCAGCGTCTTCACTGCCTCCCTGCAGTTTGAATGTTTCTCTGACAGAGATCGGCGACTCTTTTATCTACTCAATGAGAAATTAACTCTCTTATCTCACCTTCCTGCCAGATAGCGGCCCCAACCCCCTCCCTCGCCGAGCCAGACAAACCACTGGCGTTGCCATGACGACTGCCGGTCGCCACAGCAACCGGTAGAGGCTGACAGGTTGTAGTAATTAGTGAGAGATACAGACAGAGAGTTTTGAGGTGTGATGACGGAGAGAAGAAGAGACGCGGGGAACAGATTCTGTTTCCCAAAATGTTCCCTGATAACGTTCCCTTTGCGTTATCGTTGTTACTTTTTTTTAAAAAAGCGTCTTTGTCATAAGTTGTTAAAGAAGATTTCAGGACTTGTCGCTTTAACACAAGATCAAATATGATACAAAACACAAATCGTTGATACAAAACACTTTTCTTTCATCAAAAACAGCAACATTTTACAAATTGCTTTAATAATTTCCATGTCTTCCATAAATAAAAAAAAAAGTCATTTTAGTTTTACTGAACAACCTTTTTCTGGATTCTGGAATGATTAAAAATAGCATTATAGACATTTATAAATGTCTCTTAACTCTCCCTTCATTCATGCACTGGGCGAGTCTGACATGTTTTGAAATATTTTACATCTATTCCATGTCTTCTTTCAGACAGAAAGAAAACATCCAAAATACACAGGTGTTTATTTTACTGCACTGCATCCTTTTACATCTGTACATTTAGATTAGAAAACGTATCTTTAATGGCTGTTTCTCAAAACTTAATTCCCATTTTTGTCTCAAACTCTGAGCCAGAAATCCCCACTTCAGTAACACTTATATACACAAACTTTCTAGTTTAGGAGTTTGTTCATGTATCATCCATAGTGTGATTTTTAGATCCATTTATTCTTTTTAAACATTGTCAAAAATGTATATGTAACAGAAGCCCAAATTCCCCCTCAGTAAAAACCTTTGGCTGTAGTATGTCAGTATCCAATGTTAAGATTTCTGTTCTGGAAAGTAATGCAAATTAAGGAATTTTTAGATCTTTTATACCTCAATTGCATTTTTAAATGTTACATTTAGGAAAACAAAAAAGAATTGCGCTAATGTAATCAAGCAACTGGTGAAGTTTAATAGTCATGTCTATAGGTTTTTTGCTATTATCCCCTTAAATTTTATATATAGAAAGACTATTTACACTTTTATTCTGCTCATAGTCACACTTACTGGCCGCTCTGGGGCTCAAATACTGATTTAAACACCCAAATCTAAGACAAGAGGGAGGGGTTGTAACTTCCATTACAAATATTGTGCAAGACATGAACATAGTTTTATTTAAACTTCCTTAAGACAACTTTTTTAGCTGTGGTAATGCACACCTTGCAGACACATGCAATAAAAAAATCATGCAAAAGAATGTACTGAAAAGGAATATGGCCACAAGCATTACATTTTCAATTAACTTAATGCTGACAGTGTGCTGAAATTCAATTCTCCTGAAGAGTTATAGAAATTACTATAGGAAGTTAGGGCCACTCGAGGCTGCTGCTCCTTTTTTTTTTTTTTTGTACACATCCACGCAACACAATAAAGAGGCACTAAAGTGTTCTAATCTTGGCTTCCGTAAAGCTGCTCAGTTCACAAGAGACACATTTAAAGCACAAAAGCCAAAACCTGTGTAGCAGCAACTCAGGCACAAACTTGCTGTTTGGAGTGAAGGTGAAGCTTCAAAAACAACTATTTTTCCTGTAGTGCATCTTAGTATGGTCAGAGCAACTACCAATGATCAGTGGAAACCTCTGGGGCTGAAAGATTAACACAAAGTGCCAAAAGCTGCAATACGTCAAATGGCCACTAGAGCTGTTTCCAAATGCGAGTAGCTTCCAGTAGACCCCCACATTAAAAAGGCCATCTTCACAGCAGAAATAAACATATTTACAGCCTGACATAGCAACAGTTTTTGACATGACCTCCGCCTTTGGCTCCACCAAGTGGAGCTCTTTTAGTATTGCTTCATGCTTTCCCTTGCAACAAGCCGGAGGGACAAGGGACCAGGTGTTGTGGATCACAATCAACCAATTGCTCCAGGTGCAGCGAGGCGTGGCTTGCCATACACTTCTCAGATCAGCATACAGTATTTAAGATGCCAGCAAGCCACAAATTGATGCAAGATTGTTGTAACACCTATTTTCGCCACGTTTGCTGCCAACACGTGATCCATCTTTGTTCCTGATTCCCCTCCGTTGGATTCTTCTGGCTCCAGTCCTCCATATCTTCTGTGTTCCTCTGCTGAAGTCACCTGGTCTAACTCTGTCTCCCCTGGCTCCCCCTCACTAGTTTCTCGTATTGTAGCATGCCTCAGCTCTCGCCTACTCAACTTTGAGTGACAGGTGAGCACTGTCATCAGACAGTCCATGGACTCAGCTCCTGTCAGGCTCCACCTCTTTGTTCATTTTGGGGTAACCTGGGCATTAATTAGGGATTTCCTCTCATATTGAGCTTCAAAACTGCTCTTCTGGAAATATCACAGAGGATTTGTCCTTCTTTCTATCCATAACTGGTGTCAATTCCATTGACTGCTTCTTTCAGCATGATTTTGATCTCAAACAGGTGAAAACTACATGATTGTTTAAGTTTAAACTGGCTTATTTTATGCATATTGATTTCTTAGACTGGCTCACGGCTAGAAGATCCCCAGTTCGCGTCCTGGTTAGGATGCCCAGGATCTTTCTGCATGGAATTTCCATGTTCTCCCCGTGCAGCGTGGGTTCTCTCCAGGTTCTCCGGCTTCCTCCCACAGTCCAAAAACATGTTGAGGTTAACTGGTGATTCTAAATTGTCCGTAGGTGTAAATCTGAGTGTGCTTGGTTGTTTGTCTCTAAGGCCAGGTTTACACACAAATCAAATCAGGTTTATTGTCATTTTGTTGTACATACACAGTAGTACAGGCAAGATGAAAGAGTGTTTCTTCAGGATCCAGTAACTTAAAGCAACTTAAATAAACAAGTGTTTTCATATCTAGGTCGGCAGTTCAGCATTCTGACAGCTTGTGGAATGAAGCTGTTGATCAATCTGGAGGTTCTTCCTTTAATGCACTGGAAACGTTTGCCTAATGGTAGCAGTTTATGGAGAGGGTGTGAGGAGTCCCTGACAATGTTCAGTGTCCTGCTCCTGCAGCAGCTCTGGAAAAGTTCTTGGACAGAGGTGAGGGAAACTCCGATGACCCTCTCACCTCCTCTAACTATCCTCTGCAGGGCTTTTCTGTTTGACATACTGCAGCTGGAGTACCATGTTGAGATGCAGTGTAGCTGAGTATTTACAAAAACAGACCTACATTTTCAAAAATAACATTGTTCATATCAGATTGTTTAAAAAAAATAAAATAAAAATCTCTGTTTACACACAAACCTGCATAAACATGTTAAGAATTGTTATGAGCATGCCAAACCTATAGGGGGTAGTGTAACAGGAAACATAAAGCCATGCTAGCCAATCAGAATCTTGGGGAAAAAAACACAACGAATGACACAAATTACTTCCTGTATAATGGCGCGAGGGTTTGTTTGTTTGGACTGACAGAGAAGTG